TTAAAAAAAATCTGAACTTTTGCTGCTCGATGCGCCACGTCAACCAATCAGAGAGACTCATTTTTTTTTCTGTATAATGTTTTCCTGAATGTTGCTAATATGAAACAGATGGACAGAAGCTCTTTAGCTGAAACTGACCATCTGTAGTTGGTGTTCTGGCTGGAGATACCAGCACCGATGTGGGTCAGCTGCTCGTTAAACTGACCGCGGTGTTAAACTGGACTCGGGACAAAAAGATAGTTTGTCAGCTTGCAGCTCCTGGAGTGGTGAAACTAAACAAACAAACCGCCTCAAAATTATCTGGTGGATTTATTATCTGGTGTGCGCAATGTTTGCTTGCTATTTAGTAAATAAAGCAAAGCCATTTCTTTATTTTATCTTTATTTCATCCGCCGTTGAGATGGACCGGAAAAAAACCAAGACGCTCCTCCCTCTTCAGACGCGCATCTAGTCTGTCCCAGTCTGAATGTAGCGCATCTTACTTGAGGCGTTGGGCGCATTTTTGCTGCTCAAAACGCGTTCGGTGTGAACGTAGCATTAGAGATAGGGTGAGAAGTTCAGTTTTCTGGGAGACACTCAAAGTAAAGCCGCTGCTCCTCCACGTTGAGAGGAGACAGTTGACGGGGTTCAGGCATCTGGTAAGGACGCCTCCTGGATGCCTCCCTAGGGAGGAGCTTCAGACTGAGTGGGAGGAGACCCCAGGGAAGACCCAGGACACGCTGGAGAGAATATGTCACTCGACTGACCTGGAATCATCCCAAAACAGCTAGAAGAGGTGCCTGGGGTAAAAGAGGTCTGGGCCTCTCTGCTTAAGATGCTGCCCCCAGGACCCGACTCTGAAAAAGCACAAAATAATGGATGGATGGATGGATGAATCTACGAATGGATGGATGGATGGATGGATGGATGGATGGATGGATGGATGGATGGATAGATGGGTGATAATACTTGTTCTGCCCTGAGCTGTTGGATTTAAATAACTGTGGTCCCCTGAGCAATTTAGTTGATTAGCCCATAGGGTTGGACATAATTGTATCATGTGCAATTAATCATCAGAAAAACATTAATCAATTATTTTTTGGGACTTGACGATTAATACAATTAATGCTACTACCAGGCAGACTGACTGGAGATTTCTCCAGTCAGTCTGCTCGGTGCTCATCTCCACTTCAAAAATGACGAATGTTAAAAAAAGTTCTGCAATTTATTTATCTATCAACACAATTTAAAATTTGATTTATAGCCTGAAGTCTGTAACTTCAACACAGTTTGGAACAGATTTTTACAAAGAGCAAATCTTTCCCACTAAATTAGTCATGTGACCAGGACATAAGGGTGTCCAGGGACTCCAGGGGATAATCGTCAAATTAATCGTTATCGGCTTAATACCACAATTAATCATGATTATTTTTTCCCAATATTGCCCAACCCTATTAGCCCATATATTTGTCTCAAAACAAGCTGATCTAAAGCCAGCCTTGGCCATAACCTACATCTCCCATAATATATGTTGATTATGCATGGGAACTCCCTGTTGGAAAGTGGGAGAGTTCAGAATTCGACTTACCTCAACTCAGCATAGAGAAAACTCTTACTTTTAATAGTATTTCTGTATTATTTATTTCAGATTCAGTTGTACACACAGTACTCGTCAGTGTTTACAAGAGGACGTCTTAAAACGCTGCTTCCATGCAGGAAATACCGCATAGAGCCAAGTTATTATTTGTTGGCGATGATCAGCCGTAGCAGTGAGATGTTTCGTGTTTAGTCAAAGTTAAACACAAAACATCAAAGTTTATTATAAAGGGCCATTGTAATAATCATGTGGACCTCGGTGAAAATGAGTTTGACACCCATGCCTTAAGTCTTCACAACTATTTTTTTTTACTTTCAAAGTTTCCAAATTAACTTCAATTCCAGATTTATTTATTATTTTAGGTTTTTGAGTCAATCTTTTGCTTTGGCCTGTTTTTCTAAAAATAGGTTTGGATTAGTCCAAAAGGCAATACCTGCAGAGTAGAAGAAAACCAATCTGAGAGGTGAAGGAGGAAACCTAAGTGGTGTTTTCTGTTTCAAACAATATGGATAATATTAAAGTGCATTGATGAGAGCAAATTTCATTTTTACCACAGAGGTCATGATGAGTCAGGACTCGGCCTCTGCAACATGTACACTGAAAGTTGTTGGAACATGTGGCTCATATATTAGATTTGGAAAATAGTTTGATTTAACAAAAAAAAGAACAATTGTTGGAGTATTCTCGTGCATGTCTACAGTTTCCAGTCCATGCAGAAATTTCCACTAAAACAGTATCTGCTTTTAATGCAGTGTCATGTGAAGGGTTGAAGTTCATTTCTGTGGATTCTCTGAAACACTTAATGATATTTTGCACTGTAACGAAACCCAGAAATGCATAGCAATTTTACAAATATTGTTCTTTAATGCTTTGTTTGTCCACATGACTCAGCCTTTCTGGCATGCTCCAACACTGACCTGTTACATATTAGCCTAATTAGTTGTGGGATTTTCTACCAGATGTTTTCTTTTCTCTAATTTTGATTGCACAATGTTTTCTGCCATTTTTTTGCCCTTTTTTGACCCTTTTTTAATGTACGTAACATAAACATTTGATATATTCTTCTGGCACTTTATTTTATTAGGATTAAATTGTTCATTAATAACTTAAACTTAACTTAAAATCTGGAACTCCCTAAATTTTAACAGTCGAAATTTATGTTTAGCTTTTTTTTTCAAATGGTGGTTGCAACCATCTTTGAATTATGATCTCCTGTTATTTATGTACTACTTTTGCATCTGTTCTTACAATTAACGAAATCTTTCAGGTCTATAAATATCAAACTAGAAACACAATATATAACAGTAAAGTATTTGACTGTATGACTTTGCACATGTGCAAAAGATGTATGCTCTTTTTTTATTTGAATCAGCGATAAGGGCCAAAGAGCTGACCTTAATTTAATTGATCACAAGCCACCTTAAGATGGAGCTTTTCTTGCAACTCCCTTTCCTGTCCAGTGTTGTATCTTGTTCAACAGGTTTGATGGACAGCAGGAATGCAGGCTGAGTGATCTGTTTTGCTGTGGCAGGCCGTTCTCTGGATGTTCTCGAACAAACAGAGTGGTGCCATGTCCTATTTTTTAATGGGCTTGACACGTCACTGTTCAAACTCTCAACTAAGCTGGTCCCCAGGAGTACGTGAAAGAGAGCAAACAGTGCTCTAATACTTTACCAATCTGACCTTCTTCTAACTGGATGTACACAAACAGACAAACACACCTCTTACCCAGGAAGTTCAAAAGGGTGTGAGAAATGATAACAAAGAATTTGTGTTGCAGCCAAATAAAATAAAGCAGTAAAAATGCAGCTTAAGCTTTTTAAAACATGAGCAGAGCTTAGCTAATTTGTTTTAGCATCTTAAAATAACCTAAATGTGAATATATAATTTTTTTATTATTCTCTTTAATGAATGATTTTCCATTGCCCCAATGCGAAGCAAAACCATTGTGTTTTAATGCACCACAGCTCTCATAAACATGAGGGGGTGGGTGCTGTTTGTCATGTTCGAGCAGCATATGAGTGCAGTGTTTTGGCTTGTGTATGTCGACCCAATTAAGTGGGGGCAAACGCTCAGGGGGAAAAAATGGTGGTAAAACTGTGGGAAAATCTGAAAGCTCATAATGTGCTTGATTTTCACTGAAATGTAAAGAAAGTGTACAATGACTATTTTTTATAAGTGACATGGAAAAACATGGAGGAATCACAAAGTGCTCCCCGGTTGCGTGCACACTGCTGTGCGACTCGGGCTCATTTAGTTTATGTAAGTACGTGTGAAAGCACTGAATGTGTCTGGGCCTGTGTGTCGCTAGAATTCAGCCAAGCGTCCTGCCATGTTGTTGTTTTATTTTTTAATTTTTTTTTCTTTCTGAAAGGAACCAAACAACCTCTACTGCTTTTATACATCCCTCACTTTACGGTGTTTTCTTTCCCTTTTTTTCCTTTAAATATGTGATATATGGGACATTCCTTTGCAGTTGTGTAACATGATTTGAAGCAAAAAAAAAAAAAAGGTGAGACAGAATGACATGTAAATAAAAGGGAGATTGAGGGGAAAATGGTTCATCTTGTAGAGCTTCGTGTCCTACGGTGTGCTCATATTTCTCAGCCCATTTCACAGCGGTGGGTAGCTGGCTTATCGTCAGCCTCCTCAGCTTTTTTTTCCCTTTTTTTCTTTTTCTTCCCCCCTCTGTCACGCGTGGCCTGCCCTAATCTCTCCTGTGTACTATAAACCACACCTAATAACCCTGCGCACGATTAAAGCAAACATTTTAATAACAGCCTGCCTCATTATCAGCTCACATTGAGGAAAATGAGTGGTTAAGCTTGAGCTTACGTGGAGCCCAGAGAACAAGAAATCTTGCTTTATAGAGAGACTGATGGGGGATAAAAACAACTTATTTAGTACTTTTGGTTTGTTTTATTTTTCCAAATATGATTTAAAAATGATAATTTGTGAAAAAGTAATGGCAGATTTCTATTAGAGGGTACATTTTTTGCAGTTTATGTAAAGTTGCAAAAAAGAAAGTGAGCTGCAAGACTGAATGTGGCACATTGCTCTAGAGGGTGCTGTTTACTGAGAAAATCTGCTTTCCTCAACTTTCTCTTCAGCCCTCACTAGATTGACTTCTCTTCTGTCGAAACACACGTTTATTTTTTTCCTGAAAATTAATTTCAAATTCAGAAGTCTTATTGTTATAACTAAAACCTTGCCTAGTTGTTGTTATGTAGGGTTTTCACATCCGGCACTCCAAGAAAAAAAAAAAAAAAAAAAAAAAAAAAAAAAACATCAGACAAATGAAAATTAGAAGGTCAAGGCTTTCCCTTCTGAAAATGCATGTGTGGTTTTGTGCTGCAGGGCTTCTTCGACATGTCATTAGCCATCCTAATCCCACCGTGTGTCATCCCCACCTGTGTGTCCACAGCAGCGCATACAGAAGCGAACAGATGTTTACACGGCTTTCACACAGCCAACAAGAGCAGATGATGAGCCGTCAGTCAGACATCAGCTGGCACAACGTACACGAAGAAGAATGCGTCCACGGCGATGGTTCCACCTGTGCTGTCTGTGATTTCCTGTGGTGTGTAATCCCTAACATCGCCCGTGTTTATGCCTGTGTTTTAGTTACAGGCTCGACGCTCGGATGCTTGGGTGCTTAACCAGCATCTTTGTTTCACTTGCTCCTCAGAATGGCCCTGGGGCATCCTCTCTGTTTCGCCACACACAGGCTCATCCCTAACGTGCATGAATGTAGTCAGCTCTCATTGTATAGCCTTATACTGTACATGTGTAGTCATATTTATTAAAATGAAATGAAATGGCTTTTTTATTGTTCGCATCAGGAGGGAAAATGCAATGTTTTTTGTTGTCTGAGTGCACCTGTTTGTAGCATAAGCGTTTAAATTACCTCATGAACCATTGGGCAGATTTTTGTTCAAAAATCATAATTTTTTGCATTCAACCCAATTCATGACGACCATCACAACTACTAAATTTTAGCCAACACATACTGGCATTAACTAGTTTTATATTTTAGCTAAATTTGATGTAGTAGGAGCTGAGATTTAGCCTGGTGACACCCAGCCCCTTGTTCTTCACTTTGCTTCATACAGAGGGTCAGGAACAGAAGTGATTGCTTGCTGGAGGTGTGGACTCTGCTGAAGTTTAAAAAGATGGGATCTGATTTACCCAATCACATGAAGGATGCAATTGCATGTCCTATAAACAACCATCCCCTACTGAGAAGTACCGAGCTGAACGAGATGACTGCAGGCTTTGTGAGACAACTTTAACTTAATTTGAAACCTCATAAATACAGATTAACTACATTTACTGCCTCCACTGCCATCACTAAACTGCAAGTAGACTAAAACTGCGCAGAAAATCGGCATTGTCGTTCAAAACCCTTCCTTCAGTTCGCTGATTGGCCCAGTTAAAATTCTACCCAAGAAGTCCTTGTCTATGGGAGAAATCCCAGATGGGGCAGTGAAGGGCCAGCTGAGATCCTCAACAAGAACCCGTCCATATAGGACCTACTTACATTTATTTTTATTTGTCTACCTGGATTACTGAGATGCATCAGGACACTACAGGACATTACCTTGTATGCTAACACATTACAAAGTTTGATCAAAATCATTTCTTCTGACTGTAAAATCCTGACTGTAAAATCTTACATGTAAGGCAGAGGGTGATATGCATTCCATCAGCCCCTGTCACATTATAATGTTTTAGACCAGTGTTTCCCAAAGTTGGGGTCGGGACCGAAAGTGGGGTCCCGAAACATCAAGGTGGGGTCCTGAAAAGATTTTCTGAATTAATTACATTTTTTGCCTTAGTTGTTACAAAGGAGTGAKGTTAGTGTATTTAAAATGGATAAATGTAGTATAAAAATATTGTTACTATGCCCATGTTTTGTTGACCTGATACAAATGTTTATCATCCAAAAATAGCTGGGGGCACAGGTCTCTGTTACTGTTATTTTGTGGGTCAAAAGCTGAAAAGTTTGAGAACCACTGCACTTTGGTTCCCAAAGTTGGGATTGGGACCCAATTATGGGTCATGAAGCACCTTGGATAATCTCCAGAAATCAATTTAAAGGGTAATAAAATTGTTACTGATGTAATATTTTCCCCATAACTATTACAAAAACACAAAATAAGTATAAATAAGTATTTATATTTGTGTACAAGCTCTTTAGATTGTCAAAAAGCCTGTGTTTTTAAGAGTTTTTAACAAAGTTCGTGTACTCAAACCAGTAATATTTGGGGTCACAAGTTTTTGCCATGGATATTTTGTGGGTCAGAAGATAAAAAGTTTGGGAACCACTGTTTTAGACAACTTATTGCATATTAACATTTGGTTATGAATAAATTACCCATTAACAAAATGCACTTGCAACCCCGCCCCTTGCACAGTGACTTCTGAATTTGGGCACCAGTGACCCCTGTGACCCTGAAAGGAAGAAGCGGGTATAGATAATGGGTGGATGGATAAATTACCCATGTAGCTTATATTTCTGATTTAATCGCATTGTATGTGCATGTACAAAAGAGGCATCCAGTAGATTTTTTTACTATGTCTCCAATTAAGACATTTTCTGTGTTATACAAATTTTTCACAAGTTGTTTAAAACTTTATTATATGGACTTTTTAATGCTTTAATTTTCAACTGAGTAGCAGTATTTGTGTTTGAGTACATTATTTTAATACTTTTTCCACATTTGTTCATTTCTGCAGCATCAAATAATCCTGCTTATGAAGCAAAGAAAGGATGATAAGCAAAAATGCTGCTCTGTAGTCCTTTTATGTGTTTGAACAGCTAACAAAAAAGTTTTTTTTCTTTAAGTCTGTTAAGTAAAGATGTAATCAACATCTAAATTCAGAAAGCAGAAAGCCTTTTTTTCCTCCCTCACTGGACTCAGGTTTCCTTGATCATTTACGGGAAACATGAAGTTGTTTCCTTATGTACAAATTGTTTGAGGAGGTCCTTTATTTTTGGTTGCTGTTGTTTTATATGGTTAATGTTTCGTCATGAGTGACGCCGGCTGAGGTCATGAGTGTGGAGAACTGTTCAATGCCAGCTACTGAACTCATTTCTCTTTTTTTAAAAATTTAGCAACGAAGCTAAATTTAGATTTTAGCCGCTGCCAAAGAGTTTGTTCCAAACTCTGTCAGTGACACACCTTTCGAAAAGTGACTCCTAACATCTGCTATTTTTATCATAATCACCCCCCTTTTCTCCTTTATTTTTGCTCCTTTCATCTCCGTCTTTTCCTGACAGACCCATGATAGATGGGCTGTTTTCGTCTTTTTTGAAAATGTGTTGGGCGGATTATAATTGAGAGGATCCTAATTCCCATTAAAGGAAGGACTTGCCTTGGCAGTGTTCCTGTAAGCGCTCTGCTCTGACGTGGGTAGAAGTGAGGAACCAGTGAAAGGTCCTGAGTGCTAACACACCCTTTGCACAGCGCTGCCCAGTGTATGGTTTGTTGGAATGGTGGCATTTTAACGCTCCAAAGTTAGCCTGCCAATTGGACAACAACCATTTGGTTTGCCATTCTGAGGAGTAGCTGTGACAGTTCAGAAAGCTACAAATAAAAACTCCTGCTGACTAACATGCATTATATAAAATCTGGCTCGGTGTAAGAAAAATATTGAAGCCTTATGATTTTTTTTATGTTCTTCTGTATGATGTTATCCTCTTATTTTATTTGTCACAGATTTTGTCATGGATGGCACCCTGTTTTGCTTTTAAGTGGTCCAATTTGCACGCTTTAAACTATTTTCCTCACAAATCACCCAGAGATCAATGAAGCATTATTGAGTAAAAAAATGTGCTTCACCCACAGTAATCTAATCTGAGTGAAGTTATGTTCACATGATTGTGATACTCTAATGTGTGATTTGAACTTTGTCTTATTTTCTTTTCTTTTCCTTTATTTTTTGAAGGAATCCACAACCTTGGAATGAGATGTCATCTCTTAATCGCCTCCCAGGGATTTTCTGGTAAGTTTATGTGTTTCTAAACACTGCTAATCATCTCCGTGTGCTTGTGGTGTTTCACAATTAAAGCTGTCTCCTGTAAACCTTCCTTGTGCCAAATGTATCGAGATGTTTAGGGCATTATAAGGTTTTTCTACAACTTTTTGTTTTTAGTCAGTAGTTATTTTTTTCTTTTTGTATTTTCTCTGCAGGTTTTGTGACTCACCCAGATGTGCAGAATGTTCTGCAACCCAGTGGATTTACGCCAGAAACGTATACTGTTACTGCGGTTCAAGCTAATAAAGCTGACGCAACTCGTACTTTTTTACTGTTGGCACAACTGGTAGCCAAATGCTGTTAACTATTTAACTTAACACAGGGAACTTGGACAAGCTTTATGGGTTGGTGTTTGTTGTGGTACCCTTAAAACACATTTCTTATCCTCAAAATGGCATCTTTACACAAATCTTGTGATTACTCTTCTTTTCAAGGCCATCGGCTCTGTGCTGCAGCCCACAGTAGTCTGTTTGCTTAGCGACTCTTTTCACCCCCCCCGCACTGGTAGCCTCTGTTCTGTTTGGTCCTCCCTCAACCAACCAGTTTGTGCTTGTCATTGTGTCACCCCAGGGTGATGCCACTCTCTCAGCCCCCTTGAGAACCTTCTGCCTCCGCAGCACTCTATGTTTGCCCAATCATTTGAGATCCGGATACGGGAATGAATTGTTAACTACAGCAGGTCAGCCAGTGCCCCCCCCCCCCCCMCACACACACACACACCGCCTCCTCACATATCCCACCCCCGCCCGCCCTCTTCTGTTCTCCTCCGACCTGTTGTTGACACATCCCCATGGAAATCGAGGAGGAATTTTATTTTTTCATTTATTTTTGCCAGCCAGCTCCACCGCCACTCTTTTCCACCAAAACTTCCTCTTCTCTGCTTCTGAGTGTCCAATCAAAAGGCAGCCGAGGGGGAGTCACATGCAGGAAGTGTTTATGATGCATCCCTCTGAGCCGAGCCGAGCCGCCAGAGGGGCTTTGATGGAAAACTTGGCCTTGCAAGAAGTGTGTGTTCTAAAAAGAGAATCTAGTGACTATTGATTTTCTGACGTTGAATCATGTAGCTAATTTTTAAACGCTCTTTATAGCAAAACAGTTTTTTTAAGACGCTGGATTGCATTTGTATTATGTAAAATATTTCAAGCAAATTTTATGGCAACTGTACTTTTATAGTTTAAACTTATTGACATGTTTAAATGTAGTCATGTGTAACTGTGTGTGTGTGTGTGTGCGCACACACAACCCAGGTCTTATTTGCTCAGGGCAGGTGAGTGTTTGCCTACCTGTCTCCATTTATGAGATCAGTGTTTGCTCAAGGAATGCACCACGTCCGATTTGTCATTGACTGTTATTGTTCAGCTCATCCGGCTGGTGCCCCAAGGTTTAGCTGTGTTGTGAGAAATTTTTGCTTTTTTTATTCCATTTTTTTTGCTCTCCTCAGCTCTGTGTGTACATGCACAAGAAAAGTAACATACAGTATAGCGAAGACTCATTGTGACAGACAACCAAATACATCATAAAAAAATGCTTTCTTTAAATGTCAACAGTTTCAGGGAAATTACTCCCCTTCATTTGAAACAACAAATATTATTAATAGTGAGCCATAAATGATGCACATTTAAGTAAGAAGAGTAAATGTTTTCGTAGAAACTGATTTCTAAAACGGCTCGTCTTGCAGAAGCAGATAAACTTGGCCTTTTTTTTTTACCTTTCAGGAAGTTGCAGCCATTGAATTCCTCTTGTTGCACTTCAGAGCTTTTACATGCAGGTTTATTTCAAGAAAGCTTTATTTTGCAATATTTGCCACATTCAATAAATGCATCTGTAATTGTGAGGTTTTTCTCATTTTTAGTTATTAGTAAAAATTCATTTTAGTCAACAAGTGTGTTTAGATTTGCTCGCGTGTGTTTGTAAGGCTGTTGCCTTGTGCCACCATCTGGGTGGTCCTCATGGCTGGTTTGATCGTAATCACCCTGTCTCATAAATCAGTGTCCGAGCTTTGGCCAGGAGCTGATTCTGTGTGTCTGACTGGAGCGAGGGGGCTTGAGGCTTTAAGCCGAGACCCCAGCCACTGCCCTGCTTGGGCCTGGCCGCACTTCAGCTCTCCACACCAACTTTAAAATAACTTGTCACGCATGACTGCCTTTGGGAAATGGCCTCAGCTCCAAGTTCACTCCAGCCACTGACAATACAAGACGAGAAGAAACGGAGGAGAAATGTCTTAACCAGAAATTATAGTTTCACATGGCTCCTGAACTCTGGGTTTTCAAAACTTTTAGTACAAACTTATGCAAATTTGTTGGCTAATAACACCATTGTTTGTTCCTACTAGAACCAAAGTGACTTTGAAAGCCTGCTATAAAGCTGCTTTTAGTTCAACCGTTCCCACTGGATCCAAAGTATAAAGATTAAAGTCATTTCTTTGTCTTTGTAGGGCCTCATCTCCGTGCGTGAAGAGCAAGGATGAAGGTCCATTCGAACCGTCTGGCTTGTCCACAGCGCTCCACTAAGCTTTTATCTCAGCGTCTGGTTGCAGCTCCATCCGGACCTGACTGACTCCCAGCAAGTGCACAATCCTGAGACCTGTGGCATAAATAAAGATAATGCTGTTTGGAATAATAACAGTCAATTCCACCCAAGAGACACAAGCGTGGCGGAATACAAAAGAAACCAAGATGAAAGGCTGATAGGTGGGTCCTTGCACCTCTCTGGCTCTCATGTGGGAACTGATGGAACCTATATCAACATGTACACATTCAAACAGGGCTGAGTGGGTCCATATTCCAATTTTGACCCTCAGGGTCATGATGTGGACATGCAATTTGTTCTTTTGTCTGCCAAGATCACAGAGGGAGACTAGTGACTTTCCTTTCCTTTTAGTTGTTTATTCTTTCTTCTCCTGTTTCACTTCATTTCATTCTGTTGCTTTCTGAGAGTGCAATTTAGTGTTATGAGCAGGTGGTCCTTTTTTTTCCTTTTTTTTTTTATCCGACAGTGCTTTTGGTTCCCACCTCTGGCGTGTGGGGCTTTCAGTTGGAATCAGTCATGTAGGCCAGGATTAGGAGGGTGGAAGAGGAGGAGGTCCAGTCAGAATCTTGGTAGTAACAACCTGAATGCCCTGCAGTCAGAATCACGCAGAGTGCTGCTTGAAAGAGTTATTCTGTTGCTTAAGCTCTCAGCCGCACCCCAGATGGCTTTTATGCCAGCCAGGGACTTGCTTGAGGTTAAAGAAGCAAAGGCCTTCAGGCCTCTTAAGTCTCTGGACTCCAGCAGGTAAAGTTCTATAATGAAGACAGACTGAGAAAGCAAAACGCAGCCACAGCTGCACCTTTTTGTCTTTTGAATCTGAACAGCAGACCAAAACAAAACCTCTGAACGTCCTCCCAATTTGAGCTGAGAACTACTGAAGCATTTTATCTGATGTTACATCGGACATCAAACAAGAGATTCAGGGGGTGGGGACGGGCTTCTACATTCCCAGTGAGAGTTACTGATCAATGAGAAAAATGACATCCTCCTTTCACTACTTCATCTTTGATCTGAAGTTGTTTTATTACAGGGTGCAAATTAAGCAAGGTTGTTACTTAAGGGATTTTATGACTCATTATGTTATCTGTCTGACATTCCTTTGAAGCAACTCCATGGTGACACTCAAACAAACATGCAAAGCTTTGTCAAAAACAGGTGTGCTACTCGGCTGTCTTTCACACAGACAAAATAAAACAATATCCTGTAATACCTGTGCTACTGAAAACATTTAGTTATACAAGGTATTCAAAATACTGACTAGATATTTATCAGACCTGCAAGAAAACTTAATGTCAGTTCAAATGAAAAATAGTTAGGTGTAACATATTCTCCTCTGACAGAATGCCATGCTAAATTCAGTCACCATGCTGTTTTTTCCAGTGTTAACAACATAATCTGAGTTAAAGGATTGGTTCAGATATTTAAATGGGTTTCAGTAATACACTGTGATCAATAATATGTTACCTGTTGCAGATAGTGTTTAAATGACCACATTCATGCAAAAAAAAGTAAACTATAACGATCTTCACTACTTTTGCTTTGCATGGTCGTATAAATAAAATCCTAGGGTTATTTGCGAGCACACATGACATTGGGAGAAAGCCAGGAATTTTTGGTAACAAATATGTTTCAAGAAGAGAACAACTCACTTTGGCCTTCTTCTCACTCAGAATCAGAATTAAACTTTACTTCACTTCCTGTTCATTTTATGAATCATGATATTTGAGGTGTAATATTCTTATGGGAGTGCAATGGCCTCTGAGTCAAACGTGCTCCTTTTGTTGACTTTTATGTGCTCAGTTTTGCTCTACTTCACAGCTCATTATTCAAAAATAAATAAATAAATACAATTAAACTACTTGTCTGTTGTGAGACATAATTAGAGCTAAATCAAATTGTTACCTTATATAATAGGGCTTAGGGAAAAGCAGTGTCAGAGGGAATGATATAGGGGCAACAACATGGTCAGAGTATCAGGCTGTGGTTTTGGAGGTCTGACCTGTAAATCAAACTGGGAGATGTGATTTGGTTCCACTGCTCTGTTAGTCATTTTCTGTTTGTCCCCCAAGTGTTTATCATGGAGGTTTCACATATGGCCACTTCTCCTCGTGCTGATAAACAGTGAGGATTGGATCCAGACCCTGCTGGGTTCGAGTTGGAGCCCTTGGGCTCATAACCACACAGACTGAGAATGTTAGTCATTTGTTTATTATTGCCAATATTTGCCTGATCCTAATCCTTTACAGGATTAGCTGGATTAGATGTTTTCCTCATTCTACCTTTTTTTCCACTGTTGCAGAATTTTACATAAGATTTGTAACGTTTTTTGATTGTGCATTCAAACAGCACGTGTATGCTCTCCACCTTGTGCATCAGTTTGAGTGGGTTATTTCAAATGTGTATCCTGAAGGATATTTGTCGTCAGGGTAGTTTGACAGATGTACTCACTAAGTACATCCCATTTAATGCTGTGATTGGGGTCAAGAGGAAAACTCTGTTACAGTGACTGCTATTTTTTTTTTTATTTTATGCCAGGTCATTTTAAGTTATGGCTGAGCTTGAGGCTGAAGGAGTGTTTAGATCTCAGAAATCACCACTCCCAATGTGTTTTTTCGGCCATTTCTTTTTTTTTTTTTTTCTCAAACGGAAACACTCTGAAAGCCCTGTAGGAACCAATTAATCAAAGAGGCTGAATGTCAGCGTGGTGTCACTGGATTTGGAAACTCCTGACGTCATGAAGGAGGAGAAAGGGGTTCGAGTGGAACTTGTGCGTATGTTTCATGTGCCGTTTAGCTAACTGGCCGAGAGTCACCTGGATCAGAGATCGAACGGCGTTTGCCAAGTGGAGTGAACCCGCTCAGTGTGACCTTTTTAGAGCTGATTCTAATCACCACATGATTCTGTTTCCAGTTTCGAAACACAACCGAGCACATGCTCATTAACATGCCGCTCTCCTTTAGCCACATGCTGTATTTGTGGGTGAGGAAGACTGACAAATCTGCACCCTGCACTTAATTCCTGCCTCCCAAGTCCTCCCACAAACATAGACAGAAGCACATGCAGCAGTACAGCACTGAAAGATCGATAGCTGGTAATTATCTACGTTTATGTGAGGTCAAAGGTTAAGAATGAGGGCTCCTAAATATTTGGAATACTCAGAATGAACATTTTTATGTTTTTAATTGTGTGGACTACAGTCAGCGTTAAAAGTTTCTAAAGTATGAGTAAGCAGTTCTAAACAGAAATACAAAGGTTGTGTAATATAAAGGCTGCCTAAAACTGAGAAAATTAGATCATTTGGGATCATTTTTGATTAAATGAAAAGTTGCTGTTTATACATACTTTATTAGTTCATTCACACAACTGAGGTGATTGCTTTTACTTCCGTATGTTTTGCGGCACATAGCTCGCTCTACAATTGTTGTTCTTTTTTAACATTTCATATTATAAAACGTTCAGCTGAATAATGCCATGACTTTTTGCTTTTGGTATTTCAACAATTTATAATTTTGCAGATATTGAGTTTTGTTGGCCACCTATTTTTCTCATTGAAAATGACTGGAGCTGTCCTTTACATCCTTAAAACCCTTCAAAATGTTTCTACATTTTTATGTTACATTTTATTATTTTACTCTGGTTCAGCTTTTCTGTGCCTTTTTAGACTTTCTTCTGCTTCTTATGCTCCTTTGCTAATTTAAACTTGTTTGTGCTTCTTTCTACATTTTTATGCTAATTTAAGCAGTTTTCTGTTTTTTAGGCTACTTTGTAGCTAATTTCAAATAATTTTAGCCTTTTTTCTACAACTGTCCCCTTTTTAATGATAATTTTAGCTTCTTATTGCCCTAACTCAGCGAACATGCCTTTTCTGCTTCTTTCTGCAAATTTTAGATTTTCAAAGACTTTTTAGCTATTTTCAGATCGTTTCAGCTTTTTTAGCTATCACAAATTGCAACGTTTTTGTACTTTGTATTTTTTTCTTTTATGTGAGCTTAACACAACTTGCTTCTACTATTTTCAGCTACATTTCTGTTCTGTTTTGTCACATTTTTGCTATTTTTTTCTACTGATTTATCACTTGTTTCTTTCAGCAAACATCAGCTGTTCAAACGTAACTCATGCTAACAGTTTGGCTATAAAACGTTTTCAGCCTTTTCAGCAGTTCTCTGCAAAACATATTTCAACAATAAGTTTTCACACTTCATTTTCACAGGAAATGCAAATTCTCTAGTTAAAGCTGAGTTCTTTAACTTCTCAAATACTTCATGTCCCAAACCACTCTGCAGTGGATGCTAATGTTGGGTGTGACTGCCAGAATGAATGTACAATCTTCCCCTCTTCATTCTTCCTTCCCCATAACCCCCCTGCACAGAAAATCTTTTTTACTTGCTGCACATGTAAGGTCTCCAGTCAATTCAGACACAGCTAAACTTCATGTGGTCTTGGTTAATTGGCTTTTTTTTTTTCTTTTTGGTAAGTGCAGATATGCTTCATTATGCATATCTTCCTTATAATTTCTTGCACCGTTTGCCTTTAGAAAGTGACTTTTAATTGGCTCCACGGTCACAGTCTCCTGCTTTAACTGTCCCCTGTGGTACTTGAATGTGGCCAGTTTGACCTGGAGGCCTCTGGGGTAAAAGTCAAGTATTTGACAACATGAACTCTGAACCATTTTTTTGTATTTTTTTTATTGTGAAACCTTTGTTTTTGTTTTCCCTTTACATTTTTTAATGCATATTGAGAGTTTTAAAGGCGATCTCTTTTTATATTGCAATATTTGGGCTGTGAAAGCAGAATCCATTTATTTCAACACCTTTCCATTACTCCAAAATATTCAGTGTTGGTCACTTACCAACGCTCCTGCCTTGTCAGATTCAAGGAAAGTCCTCCAAGCTGAGCTTTAGCGAAGTGGTCTATCTAATAAATTCAGCCATGCTGGCTAACTTACACAAAAGCCACTTCCAGCTCGGCTGCATCAGCACTGCTCAAAGACCTGAGAGTACTGTGATCCCACCATGGGGTGTATAGCTGTGGCTCCGGCTGTGCTACACTTTAATCCCCATCTCTTTTAACCACAATGGGAAACATGTGCGCTCACTGTGTAGGGTGCAGGCCCACCATGGACGAAGCTGTTTATGTTTGCTCTAAAACTAACATTTCACAA